GGCATTGTGGCACAGGCCCCACCGGCGGTGTTTTTGCAGCAGGGCAGGAGCTCCTCCTGGCCCTGGATCCTGTCTGAGGCGCAGGACAGGAAGCAGCGTCCCAGTGGCAGGACAGGCCGTGGCCACGGGAAGCGGCGCTGCTAAAAATACATTGTGAAACTGCTGGCACCTCCGCTTCTCTCCTCTGCCGGCTTGATCCACAGGATGTCTGCTTCACTTTGGCGTGCGCAGCAAGCCACCTTATAGCCATGACTACTTCCTCCTCCTCCTCACTGCCAGGAAACCTATTTCAGAGAGGGGTGGAGGAAAGGGAACAGGAGGAAGAGGACTGGGGACAGTGTAAGGGACACGGGGGGTGAGACACGTCCTGATCTATATCAGTGTCTGGGGAGCAGCAGGTTAAGGTAAGAGCAGCTCAGATAGGGGGTGCCCCATGATAAAGGGCAGAATGGGGCCATTCCTTGCACCTCTTAATCATGGGAATTTCTCAAGGAGTGACTGAGCTGTGAAAGACAGGCTTATTCCCTTGCCCCATAGCTGGATGTGGGAAATTTTAGGACAAATCACAGTACATCAGTCACTGAGGCTCAATCCAATGGGAAGCCCCACTGCATGCACAATGGATCGGGCAGCAAACCAGGGTTGCACACCCGTCATCATCGTGATGCTCAGAGGGTGATAACCCATCACGTGGGGTACCACCCCATCACCTCTCAGGACGCTGGGGGCTGCCTTTTCCCTCCCTTAGGCAGCATCTGATGGGGGCTTCCCTCACCATGCCAAGCAGGAATCGCACCACTGCAAAAAGCAAGCCTTAGGCAGGCAGGATCCAGCTGGAAAAGTCTGGCTGTCTATGGAAGAAGCAATAAATCTCTGGAAGCTGGAAAACAGTGGTAAAGAGGAAATGCCAGAGCCTGCCGCGCCGCCTCTGCTGTGCCGGCAGGCTGCTGGGTGTGATCTTCAGAGCTGGCCCCATCCTGGGGAGCACCAGCCATGCAGTGGGGATACTGTGCCATGGACTGGGTGCCCTTCTAGGCTTGTGGTGGATTTTCGAAGGGACGGGGAAGATGGAGGAGGTGTTGCTTGCTTTTGGGTTTTGGGGAGTATGTCTGGGGGATTTTTTTTTTTCATTTTATATTTAAACAAAGGCATACAAGAGTGCAGTTAGGGGAAGGCAGCAGAATGAGAACTTAAAACACTCCAGGGCAAAGGAGTAAAGTAGCTAAGAAAGTTAGTAGCACTTAAAATGCTGGAAAATAATCTGGATGCTCTGAGTTTGAGCAGTTGCTTGTTTCAGTGGCCTCCACTTCTGCAAACACCTCCTTGCCAGTGTGGGAAGGACAGGCTGGGGACATCAGCTTGTGGAAAGCAGATCTAAGAGCGATGTAGTGCTGACATTGCTGAAATTGCGGCTTTTAGATTATTGCTTTCATTAAAGCAGTTTCCAAAAATTTAAATGGAGACCTGTGATTGGCACTTGGCATATATCTGCAATGAGTGATGGCCCCAGCCTCTGAGGTGTTGCTGTCTAACTCTGGGCAAGCACAGAGCAATGAGGTAATCTGCACGAGATCACGGATACCTACAAGGCAGGGAAGAAGAAGAAGGGATATTTAATGTATGAGGATATGCAGCCTGGAGACCAGTGAGACACTGCCATTGGCAATTGGAGCTCTTCTCATGTCGGTGAACAGCAGCAGCTTCTAGGGTGGGGAGGGAAGAAAATACCAAGTTTATACCTGGAACAAGTTGTTGTATTAAAAATCAGATTATTCCAAGCAAGTTGCAGTGGAAGGCAAGGTTTCTGTGGCAGGCTGGTGAAGTTTTCTTGCTCTTGTCTTCTTTCCTTTGGGAAGAAAGATGCCTTAATTATGTTCTGCGTTTCTTGGTAGTGGAAGGATATATGGTTTTCATGGAAAAAGTTACTCATCGTAGCCTAAACTCTTGTTTTCATTAGTAAGTGAACATTGCTTTTCCTTAAGAAATCCAGCTGCTGTTGGATGAAAACTTCCATTTGGAGGTCCTCTGTGCTCTGTTAAAAAAGCAAATGGAGTCAGGCAGTGTGGCAGCAACGTAGGGCGTTCCTGGGGCGCATTCGGGCTGCAACTGGGAACATCTGGAGATGGTTCAGCTGGCTGCTGTAGGCAGACCTTGCTGCTGGGGTGGGTTTGATGAGTCGGAAGAGACTGTCCCTTCAACTGATGCTCCCAAATGATAAAGAAGTGTTTTGAGGATAGCTTGCAGCCTGCTTTCAGTTCTGTGTTGGGCATTTTAGGGCAAGTTTGACTGGAAAGCAGCTGCTGCTCCTCGTGCTGGTGTCGCCCCAGCCTCACCATGGGTGGCAGGGGTTGCTAGGGTGGGTACCACTGGGTTCAGAGGGCAGCGTGCTGGGTGGAGCAATGTTTCCTTGCAGAGGGAAAACCAAACCAGAAAGGGCCACAGCCTTTTCTTTACATCTTCTAGCCAGCGCAGAAACCCAAATCTTCCTCGGGGTCTCTTCTTCCCTGAGAGCCTCCGAGAGACCTTTACTTTAAGAGTGGCACTGATTAATTTAGGGACATTCCCCTTCTCCAGAGAGGGTAAACACAGGCTTCGTTATTCCCTCAGACAATGAATGAGCCATGCCAGACTGGATTTGGGTAACTTTCTGCAAAGCCAAGAGCTGCCTTATTTGGGCTGGATTTGAGCACAGAACAGCTTTCGTGACTTTTCTCTGTAGCAAGTGTTTGGAGAACCTCGGGCTCTCCCAAGGGTGACAGGAGTGAGGGACTGTGCCAGCAGGGAAGGTGCATCAGTTGCTGTGGGAGACGTGTTAAAAGCTGATTATTTTGGTGGCAAACTGGGGAAAGGCTTGTCAAATCTTACCTCCCGCTCCAGTGAGCTGCTAGGGATTTTCTCCCTGCAGTGAGTCGAAAAGCCCCGAGGTCAGCTTGCCCTGTGAGTTTTACACAAAACCATGTGGGTTTTGCACCAGCTTTGATGGCACCCTTGTAAAAATCTCTTGGCTGGGATTTGCAGAAATGAGCAAGGAGGAAAACTACCAGCTGACCTCCCGAGGGGCTCCTACTGGCAGCCTGTCTTGCAGATCCCAGTCCTCATGCATCCACTGAAGCCCTGCTGAGCTTGTACAACTGGAGACTTTGCACTTTTCCTGAACAAACTATCTTTCTTTGTTCTTTTAATGTAACCTTCATGGTGCCCATCATGTCTGTAGCTGACCTGACTTAGACCCTTTTGAAAAAAAGTTGTGTTTCTGCTTCTCTGTACCTTTTGGCAGTTAACTTCCCTTTTTTAAGTTGAATGGTTTCGAGAATTTAGGACACTCCAAATTAAATTGGCATTTGAACAGGTGCTTACAGCCTTTTGTAGAAGTGATACTGGATTCTTAAGCGGTTTTGTTTGGTTTTTTTATTTTTTACATGCTTTTATTTTTCGCCCTTCTCTCTCATGATTTTAAACGGAAGAGGGGGTGTCATGGAGAACACAGCAAGTCCTGCTGGAAATGCTTTTTCTCAAGTTCCTCTCAGTGACACCTTTCCCACTGCAGTGTCCCTGATCTGCTCCCATCCTCTGCTGCCATTCCTCACCTCTCCCTGGAAGAGAAAACAGTGAGGAAGTTGGTTGTAAAACTTCCCATTATTTGGACATTTAAGCTGGGTTGATGCTCCATAGGCAGAACACTTCTTCCTGTGTTTGAAGAGTGTTTTTATCCTTGCCCTGGGGGCTCCATCACATGTGTCTCCGTGCACATGTGTGTGTACAAGTGCTCTTCTGCTGGATGCCAGTGCGGACAAGGCAGTGGTTTCAGCCTCGCTGGCTTGCAGGGCTCCTTCCCTCTGTTAGGCATCTTCATGGTAGTCTCCAAAAGTGGTGTGCTTGTGCCATGGCCTAAACAAAGGCTTTGTTCTGCTTCAGTTCCTGTATTAGGACATTTAGGAAAGCCATATGTGCCAGAGGAGCAGGAGACCATGGTCACAGCTCACCCACAGGGACGTGCATTCACGTTTCTCTTTTCCTGTCTCGTTATGAAATGAAACGGGCAGTGAATCGAGCAGTGGAAGTGATGACCACAGGGGTTCCTGTGCTTGTGGGACACCTTGGAAGAAGACCAAATTCTAGTCAGAGCGATGCTGCGAGCGTCAGCTGGTATGAATGTTCCCACACCTCCTCCGAATGCGGGACATCCCCAAGACCCATGGGGAGTAGAATAATGGGATATAATGAAAAGATGCTACTGGAAATGTTACCAAGTCCTGACTTCTTAGTCATTTATATGCTCTTAAATGCCATGCTTAAATGTCAAGATGTGGACATTGTGGCAAAGAGTGTGTTTTGGGGTTGGAGGCATTTTGGATTCCCTGCAAGCACGTGCAGCTGCAGTTCCAAGCCACATTGTTTTTGCTTTTGCTCTGTATCACTAGCAGTTTTCCTGTGTTTCAGTGTCATTTCAGTTGATGAAGTCTCTCTGAAGACAGAGCAGCTTTTGGGGGTATAGAAAGCTCTGTCCCACTAGGTCTGCTCAGACTGGAAACCTGAACCTGGGTACACCATGGGTAAATGAAATGGGCTGAAAACAGCCTGCTGGGAACAGGAGGTAATGAGGGCTGATCCTAACTTCTGTGATAAAGCTCTCCTAATAGCCTCAGTTGCACATCTCATAGTTCTTGGGTAAGGCTGAGCCCTCCATGTTAATGATGTAGCAAAATAGCTCTTAGGTAAGAAATTGCCTGCAGGAACTGGAAAGGACTTTGCACATCCCCCAAATAACAGATCTTCTCATAAAGTAGGGAAGATCATGTGGCTCATGTGGTATGGGATGTAAAGCACGTTGTAGTGGTGAGATGATGGTTAGGAAGGACGTTCTTGTATGTGAAAGGGGTAAATAAGAATTTGTAGAAAGATAAACAGCAAGGCGCCTGCTCCTGCCTGGAAACTGCCGCTCCAGGTCTGATGTGGCCAGAGCAGTGAGTAATGCCTGCATCACTCTGCTCTCTCCCCAGCTGGCTGGAGGGATCATCCTGGGAGTGGCCCTGTGGCTCCGACATGACTCGCAGACGACAAATATCCTCTACCTGCAGCTGGGGGACAAGCAGGCCCCCAACACCTTCTATGTCGGTAAGTAGGCGTGGGGGATGCTGGCATTGCTGCATGTGCGTCATGCCCTAGGGCGGACCAAAACACCGGGCAGAAAGCTCTGGGTTAGCAGCAAGGAGGTCAGACTAAAAATAACTCCTGCTCTCCTTGTACTCTACAAAATATCCCCTGTCATGCCAGTCAAAGCATTCATTGGATGTTGGCTGTGGCTTAAGCGTCATCCAGAGTCACAGCGACCAAAAGCATAGAAAGACAGTTTGAGGTGTAGCATGTTTTCTCCAGTGCTATTCTCTGCTGTGGTCTTCCCTGGTTTGGCATAAGGGGGTACTTCTTGGAAGCGTGTCTCGTTTCCTATCCAAAGGAATGTAAAAGTAGCCAATGGAGTGGCTGGCAGCGGAAAGTGCAGCTTGGCGAGTCTGTGAGTCATGTTCTCCAGGAGGGGCAGGTGGAGCCTCTATGTATTATGGTTAAGCTTAGCATGATTTGTATTAAATTGACAGCGTGCTGGCTTGCCAGAAGATGAAAACCCCTATTTTTGCCCTGTTCTCCAGTGGTTCCATGAGGGGGAACAGCTTGCAGAGGGACTGGGTGCCAGGCAGAGGCTTGCTCAGGGTGCAAGCTGCTGGCACTAGGGTGAGGACCCATCTAATCCAATGTCCTGTTCTCAACTGCAGCTGAAATTACCTTCTGGAAAGGGTTTTCCTTTGGTTTTTCTCTGCTTGCCCATGAAGTGACATGCCTGAGCCCTCTCTCAGGCTGTGCCTGGTTACAGTAGATGCTGCTGCTGTAAAGAGCTGTGGGTTTTCCTCTCTTGCTGTTTCCTCTGTCATGCCTCACACCCAGAGCTGTATTTACAGCATCTCCTCTTTGCAGGTTTTCAATTTCAGAAAGACAAAAGGGAACTCAAGAAGTTACTCGTTCCTTTCCAGGAACTGGTCCAAACACCTCTTCTGGAGGCCAGCAACTGATGTCTCCCTAGTTAATACATTTACCCCAAAACTGGAGGCACCTGAGGTATGGGGGCTGAGTCCTCCCCTCATGCCTGCTGGGCATCCTTTGCTCTTCCACCCTTTTTTGTTTCATGTTTGTACTTGGCCTCCGCTATTTAGAAGGCGATGGGGAATGGGTCCCACCACTGTGCTGGCTTTCCAAAGCCTGTGGACGGTCCATGATTTGAGGCTGGCTGTCTTTTTAAAGTTACATTCAGCAACAGATCGTCCTGGATTCCTTCTGGCAGCTGTAATTTCCATGCAGTAATAACAGCAAAGCATTTCTTTCAGCTGCTGCCTCTCCCAGCCAGCCCTCTGGAGTCTGAAGGCTGAGATTTCTTTTTGCTTTTTCTTTCCCCGCAGCCCCCACAGCTGATACTCCCTCTTTTTTCTCCTCTTGCATCCAACATACACATGCACACAATGTTCCCTCTTTGGGACCGGGAACCTCTCTGGGATTGGCCTCCAGAACTGGTGGTTTGGTTTTGGTTGTGGTTTGTGGTTTGGTTTTTTTCTTTTCTTCCTTTGGCAAACCACTTTTTGGTGTCTGGCATGGGGCACTGGCCCTGGGATCTGTCAGGATGCTTTTAAAGACCAGCCAGGCTCTGCCATGGTGCTGCAGTACAGGGGGAAGCAATCAAAACTGTTGGAGGAGGCAAACTTGCACCGTGGGCTTTGTACTTGGTGAGGAGGGAGAGTGGGAAGGCGGCACTGTGGTGTCTCCTGGTTTCTCTCTGTGTCCTTTCCTCTCCCTAGAGTAAAAGCTGTTTTGTAAAGGCTGTTTTCTGAGGGTGTCTGTGTTGTGGGAGAGGAAAATTAATAAACACAGCCAGATGGGGTGTGAGATTTGACAGCTATGGGGAGGTGGGAGGAGGAGGGCAGCCACCAGGGTACCAGGCATGATGCCTGCTTGCCTTCAGCCTGCTGAAGGGCTTAATCTCTCCCCAGAAAGCAGGCAGGTTTTCACCACAGTGATCTGACACTCAGATCTTGTTTGTGGATCAGCCTCCCCCCAGGCCCCGCTGCAGAGTTTGTTGTCAGCAAAGTGGAGAGCTGCTTGGGAAGGAAAGAGTCCAGCCACGCACAGGAGCAGAAGAGGAGTCCTTGCTCTGAGCTTCCCCTGCAGCTGGACCAGGCCGCTGCAGCAGCCACTCTTGCAGCCCTTATGGGTGCAGGTGGCCATTTTCCACTCCTCCCATCCAGCCCGCGAGGAGGGAGCTCCTGAGGTTGGGGTTTTCTGCAAGTGGTACCCCACACCCCAGACTTGGCACTGTGTCCTACAAGTTGTCTTGTGGGCTGGCTTGGGATTAAAGAAGCTCTTGTTTGTGGGCTTTTCCTGAGCACAGCTCACCAATCATCTGATCCCCTAACCACTTGCTGCAGTCTTGGCTTTTAGCACTTCCATTTTGGCTCTGGACCCAATGCTCCAGCAAATGGCAGGTTAACCAATTCAGTGCTGTAGAGGACAAATAGTACCAGGGATGGGGACAGCTGGAGCACTGTAGTTTCATGCTTTCATGTCTGTAAAGGAAAATACTTGCTCTTCATCTGAGCTAGGGTTATGATCTAATATACATTTATTTGCTTTATTAGTAGTTGAGAAACAAAAATCCTTCTTGCCTCTCACCCTTGCATAATGCTGTGTCTGAATGCCCTGTGTGTCCGGAGGCTGGAGAAGGTGTTGATAGCAGGTCAGGAAATATCCTTCAGGATAGCTAGCAGCATTGACAGGTTGGATGCTAACAACTGGTTAACCACTTCTTAGATATTTATTGACCCTATATGTCCTTTTTTAAAAAGGAAACTGTGATTCAATGAGCTATTGGAGCCCATGGGAAAAGGCTGAGCTGGTCCATCTCTGTGCATACCAGTACAAACTGGAGCAGTCTGATCTCTCCACAATAAGTTGGCGCTGTGGTGTCAGTGATTTTAAGAGCCCCTGGGGATCTTGAAGAGGCGGCAAGTGATACAGGACTCATTGCTTTTGTCCTATTCTGGTGGGATGATAGTGAAGATAATGTGTTGGGGGAAAGCCAAGATCCCCATCCTTCAAGGCTTTGACTGTGCAATGCCCAGAGATGGCCACTGCAGGCAAAATGCTTTCAGTGGAGTGCAGACTAAAGCCTTGTTTGCCTTAAACCTCCAGCCCTAGATTTCACATTTTCACACTTGCTGGGCTGCCTGTGCACTGAGAGCATCACTGGGGACTCATCCCTGCTGCCCGCCCTTCCCGTGCTTTCCCTGAAGCTGCCCAGTGAGGAGCAGAGCGTGGCAGCCGAATGGTCTCAACTTTGCTCTCTCGCCCGCTAGATCCAAAATAGGAAATGTGCCTCCAGCTGCTCGCAGCAAGTGACAGAGCGACGCGACCTGCAGCTCTAATTAGCTCGGCCCTGGGAGCTGGGCCAGTTGGGAGGAAGAGTGCAAAGGCATCCAGAGCTGGGCTGCGATTTTCCGTGTAGCTTTGGGGGTGAGGAGGGGGTTGGGTTTGCTACTGTTTATGTTTTTTGTGTTTTATTTGTAAATCTTTTGCTGGGCAGTGTCTCCTCCCAAGAGCACGACAACACCAGTGTTCCTTGGCAGGGGTGTAAGGTTTTGGACAGGCATGCAGCTGCAGGCTAAACTTAGCCACCGAGACTGCTGCCACCTCTCCCTTTCCTTGCCGTCCTGCTGGCTATCACTGCCCCAACAGAAAGGCAACAGGGTTTTTTTTAATATTTATTTTTTCCTTAGCAATGAGGCTGGTGACTGTGGATCTGGCTTCCAAGTATGTCAGGCAGCAAAGCCTGCGGGAGACAAGAGGGAAACAGCTGGGGACAGCAATGGCTTCGGGCTAATTTTCAGTCCCTCTGGTGCCTGAGAAGTGGTGTGCTGTGGTAATGCTGAAGGGGAGACTGGCTAATGGGAACACAGGTCTCTAACAAGGTGAACCACAGATTCTCGTCACCATCCTGCACCATACAAATACAATGATTTATGCCCTGGAAATGAGTTCAAGCTGCTTTTCACACAGACTGGGCTGGAAGAAACGGGCCAGAAAGCACAGAGATGCTCTGAAGTCTTTCTCACAAATGAGTACACATCTGAGTTGAACTGCAATTGCATCTGCATGCTCGTCCTTGAAGTCAGCATGACATCCATCGCTGGCAAGCTTTCGTAGGTGTCCTCAGGATTTTTTGAAATACTGTCATGAGGCTTTGCTGGCCTCAGGGGGGTCTGACCCTTGCAGAGAGGAGGGATAGGTCGGGACCAGATGCGTGCCTGAGCTTCCCCAGGGCTTGCCTGCTGTGCTTACACTATGTGAGGATGCTTTGGCTGCTCTTGCCATGAGTCCCAGATGTGGTCAGCAGTGCAAAGCATCCTGGCACGTCATCTAAACAGACTTGCATTGGCTAAGCAGTCATGGAGAAACTGTCCCTTCTATCCAGGACAGGAGCCTTTTTCTTAATTAGCCATTTCAGGACTGCATTGGACAAAAAGCAGTGATTTTCAAGGGTCCAGAGAGGTTTTCATTGCAGAGGGAGTTCCACTGAGCTCTGGTGTGTTGCAAAGGCTCTGGAAGGCGACCAGTGCTACAGTGAATGTGGACCTGCCATGAGCAATGGGGAGTTCTTGGTTTCTCTTCAAGCTCCCATCCTGGCCCCATTCCTCTATGAGGCATCTTTTAAAGGTGCTGTCAACTTCTGTACATTGTGAGGTAGACCCAACAGCAAATCTTCTGCTAAACTTGTGAAAGGGATAGAGAGGAGCCCAAGTCTGTAGATCTCTACAGAAGTCCTGGTCTCTCGATCCTGTGATTAACACTAGCAAAAAAAATGCTTTTAGTTTTGGCGTGAGGTGCTGCAGCAGTCACTGTGGATGCACACCGCTGGTTGAGCACTGGGTTCTTCTCTCACCCGTTTGTGCTACTTCTTCAAGGCTCCACGTGTCGGTGGTTTGCCAGCAGAGATGCAAGCTGTGGCCCGGCTTGCACGCTTGGGAGTGGAAACCAAGGTTTGTATTTGTCTTTGAACCACGATGAGCAAAAGGGATTAT